ACACACACACACACACACACTACTGTATCTATATGAGGGCATAACATGCTCCACTGTTGTTTCAGTGTTTGCTTGTCAGTAAGAACAGTAATAGTTGTGATTGTAATAGCTGTTATGTTGGTTGTTTTTTTACATATTCACTTATATTTTGCTTGTTACATGCATATGTTATTTTATTCATCCGTTTATTATTATTCTTGCTATCTTGACTGTATTGAATGGCAGTCATATATAATGTTATATTTGTGGAAAGTTTATTTAAAGCAGTTTTAACTCAAATCATTAATCAAATATTTACGTTCGCCTATTTAAAATGCACATTCCATTACGATCCCCAAAGATCCACTTCTGGGGAAACTGTGGTCTGGAAAGTGTAAAGCCACACAGTGACCTTGTTCGTCGTCCTGACAGAGAATAATTTGATCTGTTCCTGACTGTGTTTGTCTCGTCCGCTCTCTGTGCATCATATTTCACTGCTCTTAAAGCCTCCCGCTGTTGGAAGCTCATTATTAAACACTCCCTCTCTCTGTCTCTCTCTTTCTCTTTCAATCTTTCTTTCTTTCAGTCTCTTTCTCTTTCAGTTTCTCTCTGGCTTTCAGTTCAGTTCAAAGTAACATGGCTTTTTAACATATACAGTCAACATTTTAAGATGAAACAATAATAATAAACTGTGTTTTTAACAGTCAGCAATTTAGGATAAAATATTAATAATAATAATAATAATAATAATAAACAATGTATTTAACAATCAACATTTTAGGATATAAAATAATAAAAATAATAAACCACATATTTAATAATCAAACATTTTAGGATAAAACAACAACAACAACAATAATAATAATAATAATAATATTTAGAATAGTAAATAATAAACAGTATATTTAACAATCAACGTTTTAGGAGAAAATAATAATACAAATAATAAACAATATATTAAATAATCAACATTTTAGGGAAAAATAATAATAATAACAATAAAAATAATAATAAACAGTGTATTAAACAATCAACATTTTCGGATACAACAACAACAACAACAATAATAAAAATAATAATAATAATAATAATAATGATAATAATAAAAATAATAAAAACAGTATGTTAAATAATCATCATTTTAGGATAAAATAATAATAATAATACTATTATTAATAATAATAATATGAAAATATTAACAATAATAATTATAATAAACAGTATATTTAACAATCAACATTTTAGGATAAAATAATAATAAATATAATAAACAATATATTTAATCATCAAAAAATTTGGGATACAATAATAAAAATAATAATAATAATAAACAGTATATTTAACAATCAACATTTTAGGATAAAACAATACTAAAATGATAATAATAATAATAATAATAATAATAATAATAATAATAATAATAATAATAATAATAATAAGTGAATAAATAATAATAATAATAATAATAATAATAATAATAATAATAAACAGTATATTTAACAATCAACATTTTAGGATAAAACAATACTAAAATGATAATAATAACAATAATAATAATAATTATAATAAGTGAATAAATAATAATAATAATAATAAT